ATGTATATATAGTAGATAAAATGTGTGTAAACAACGGGTAAACTTATCAATTCTCATTTCAGGTAATATCATCTCATAGTCGCCTCACATGACGTTACACATCATGAAATTGTTCCATAAAAAATAATCATCGTATTTGATGCACTGAAATGGATAATGGTATAATGTTACTGTAATTTTTATTAATATGAATTACTTAATAATAAGTAATAAGGAATACTGATTTAATTTTATATTTTAGAATTATTTATATAAAAAATTAAGTTATTCGCCGACAAATGTACAATTTCACGTAAAATAGTTTTAAATTGTATAATTCTATTTTAATTCAATGTTTATATCAATTAATAATTCATGTGAATTTGTAAACTTATAAAAAATTATACTACTGCATGATTTATTGAATTTATGTATCAATGATTCGTAATGACTACACATCATCCAACGTTTGGATTAGGGAAAAAAATATTGAATGCTACGAAAATGCAATAGCACATCAAAAGAAACTATACATTTGTTTTCTTTGATAAGCGTCGGTAATCAAAATCAATAGAAGTCATTTCAGACATCCATCGTGACGTCGACCATGTCATTTCTCGAAATATCGGAATATTTATTAAATTAACGAAATTTTAAATTTGTTCTTGGATCGAGATTTACTCAAGATTGTCTGAAAAATGTGTTTAGTGTAGTTAGATCAAAAAACGAAATACAAAATCGTTTACAATTTAAAAATAATATAAAACTTATTAGTGTCTCTCAATATTAAAAAAATGTTTCTTCTGAAAATTATGACGAAGATGACAGAACACTTTTATTAAAATTTCTAGACAAAATAAAAAAGTAATACAGATAAACAGAATGGCAGTACAAACAAATATCAAAAATTAAATTTAAATATATCATACACATTGTGCTAAACAATATTGAACGTAATAGACTATATTATATAGCTAGATATATAGTGAGTAACATTAATAAAAATCAAATAGTCTGTTATAATTGTTTAAAACATACAGGTTTTAAAATTTCAACAATGTATAATTACTCGAAGCTAATTCGTTAAAAAAGAAAAGTACCAAAGATACTTTATTCTTTGTTAATGCTAAAACAATTTGTTTTTTCTTGGCTATGGAAAAAATATTTAGAGTTTATTATAAGACAATTTGTTCCTTACATGAAAAAATAAATGTAGTACAATTTTTTGTTTCTAGATTTAAAGAAATTCCTTATTCTATTCTAAATTGCTATAATTTAAAAAACAAAATTATTAAGAAATATTGTATATTTAAGCTGAGAATCGCATCTCAAAATAAGGCCCAGCCTTCAAAAGCTGTTACAAGAAATAGAAAAACAATGGCTATGCATTCGAGTGTGCAATAATAGATTTATATAATCTTTTGTTTAAAATAGTTTATTATTTTATTTTATTCTTGCTTACGCAAAATGTATTTATATTTATTGCGAAGTTCACTACTATTTCTTTTCTACAATAATATATTGTGATACATTATTGT